GCAAAAGCCGAACAAGTTCACTAGCAGGAAACTTGGATGTCATCGTCCAAAGGCAAATACGTTCCTCATTTTGAACGTTCATTTGGGTTACAGGAAACTATCTATCAGCCCTGATACATTCATCACATTTTTTTTCGTTCACGAACAAGTCCAGTACATGTACAATGCGCATTAACCATACCAAAGAATGCAGATAATTGAAAACGCAATCTTAACATGACCAAGCAAACATTTAAGCTTCTTCGGAAAGAATAGACTTCCGCTTTGACTTCAAAGTGCACTACTTTTGCAACTTGCTCCCCAATTAGGTGGATCTCTCTAAAAGAAGCTACCTCATTTTATTCTGATTTCGAAAATAGAAAACATATAATAAAATAAAATATATAATTTTTTTTAATGTGAATGCAAATAAATATAGGCTAATATTGAAATACAGGGTGAGTAACAAAAAAAAAAAATACAAATGGCAGGAGCAATTATTTAATGAAGTTCTGCATGTAGCACTTGCAAAATGAAAGCCCAATTAATAAGCTTTCTTTTAGTACAAGAATCATTAAAGTCACTCATGTACTTTTCAAGTTCCGGAATTTTGAACACAAACACCGTTTTAAAGTTTTGTCGACGGATCACAAAAAAGGTGAGTGTTCTTTCAGCAAAACGAAAACAGTTTACATTGGGATGTATGTATCTTATATCTCGACGTAACGGCACATGTTGCCCGCGTTCAGACCTAATTCCCAAAGATGTTTCTCCGTATTAATGCAGTCCATTTCTTTCTTCAAGTTTGGCTGAAGAAAATATAACCAGTTGATTGAAATGCCGCGGGTATATTTCGGCCCCCCGAAACGATTTCCATTTGCAGCGTGTGCCGCGACGATTCCTTCAGGGCCTTCAGCTAGACTGAACGGCGCTCATCGCTGCCTGGACACGCTGGACGGAAAATCCCTCGCATTATCTGGTCTCTTTACAGGCAAAAAAGGAGGATTGTAGTTTACGATCGGCTGGTGAAACAAAGGAATGTTGAAAATTAAGTTCCCATGATCATTGTAAATGATGTGAGAGTTTGACAGGATTTTATTTAGTGCCGAATACTTAATGCTGAGTTTTAAATCCACCGTTTCACTCTCTGAAATAAAAGTAAAAAAATCAAACAGAACAAAGTACACAATGTCTGCAGCTCGTTGATATTTTATTCAGTTAGATGTAAAGTAAATTTTAGATGATAATGTGTCTGTATCTAAAGGCTATGTACGTAAATTCGGACGCACAACCTTTTCTTTGTGCACCAAGTTACTCGGGTGTATATAATCTAACATCACCACGGAACATTTGTTGGACGTCTAACCATGAAAGATCAAGATCCACGGATAAAGGGAGAGAAATTTACCATCACATTAGGGATTAATGAGTGCAACCTGTGTTGGCGTAGGCCCTACAATAGTCGCCATGCCATCAATGTCTTTGCAATAAACGTGATCATCCTTATCATTTTCATCATCCGTATCATCCCCGTGGTCTGTATCAAGCATATAACCGTGATCAATTCTTGTGGTACTTCTCTGATTAACCGATCTGTACCCGTTATCTTGTCATTAATCTAATCTCAGACGGTCTTCACCCCTTATCGTTATCCCTTATCCTACTGATACCATAATCAGGCGTCATTATGATCCTCAACCATGTATCTCTTTATAATACTCATTGTTTCTTACATGTACCATCAACATACCTTCCTCATTATCATTAATACAGGACGAGAAAAAAAGATAGTGACCGAGTTAGCAAAAAAGAATTATTACAGCAATCGCATGCTTTCACACGAGTTGTCATTTTCTAGCATAGGTGTCCTTTCACACGGTAGCATTGCGAAAAGATCTCAAGTTTTTAGGTGTCAAGTGGAAAGGGCTTTAGAACGACCCCGTGTCTCTTTTAGGTACGACCGAAGATGGTTATAAGGCCAGTGAGTGCCCCTTTAATGTTTACTGGGCACCTGCGAAGCCTGCGATGTACCCATCAACACGAGTTACAAACTTGTACAGTTTTATAGCCCCAAACAACATGGCCCCGGAAGCGAATCCGAGTAAATTTCCCCCGTCGTACTTAACTTCATCCGATAGTGACCAGTTCTTCCTCTTGACGTTAAGTTGCTGTTATTGTCGTTTTATTTCATACTTTTTTTGCATGCATTGGTCAGACCTTGACTTGTACGACCAATTCCGAGTCAAAACGGGTCGGTTCTTATTATGATCGGCCGGTCTGAGCGTCTGAACAGGTGGTCATTGCCTTGAATGTTGCCAATGTGGTCTCTGAAAGTCCAGCCTACTGTTGTATATCATATAACTTAACAAGAACAATTTGCTTTGCTTTGAGAAAGGAACAAATAACCAAAGTTACCTAAAAACACGATTGCTTCAACCAGACCAAGATGTACATATCGAGAATGCAGTGGCGCAATTAGGGACCTGTACCGTTCCCCCCCCCCCTGCCAAACATCCATTTGCTTAGAATTTGGGAAGGCAAAATTTAGGTATTTATTGTTAACCCATTGAGAGCCCCTTTAGAAAATGAGGTCCCTATAATAACCAATGCAGTTTATACAACCATTGCGAAAATAACCAAGCGAGAGAAACCCGGATTTCCAAATGACAACCTTTCAGTCAGATACTGAGAGAAAAAAAATTGGGGAAACTATTTTCATGAAGAGTCGATGTTCGTATGACTAGAGTACCGAAAGATGTTATAGAAGACTTCAACATGTCATTGCAGTAATGAGCTACCCTCTGCCGGGGACTAATTGTCAATGCAGACGTAGACAAAAAGTATTTTATCCCCTTGCCCTTACAAGCCCCATGCACTTTTTCTTATGTAAAATGGACATGCGTTACTTATAAATATACAGTGTTCTTCTAATGTCCGTCCTGTGGCCGTCGAGCCGCCCCCCCCCCCCCCCCCCGTCAAAACCCTATAGGATGCAAGGTGGGTTTTTGGTGCCACACTATTTTGAATCTACACGGACTTGTCAAAATTGTGAAAAGAAACACAGTGACAATATTTCCAAAACCAGGCTTAAAACTGGAATGTGCGATTTCTTTTAAGCATTAACCAAAAACATATGTATTCACTGTCGTTTTTGTTTTCTTCTCAGATAATGTGAATTTCGATCCAAGAACAGAGCAGACATTGTCCAGCCCGAGATACCAAACTTGGCTTTCAACAAGTGCGGGAAATTCAAAGACATGAACGGTGACGAATGTGTTGGAGCTACGGTCACTGACTTCCCTCGCATTTGATTGAATTTATTGCTTTGGGGCCGACTTTGGTTCCCGTGAATGCTGCAGTCGGTATTAAACCGTGTTAATATTTATGGGGCGTGGAATTAAACAAGGATCCCGCGTTACCGCCAAAAAACAAGACCAGGCAGCGAGAAAGTGGTACAGTAACCGAAACCACATGTGCCACGTCTGGCGCAAGGCCCCTGAAACTCACACCGGTAAACTCGATTTTAAACCCCGACACCTCTGACTGTCAATTAGGCGGAAGATTTATCATTATTAGGTGGCCTGACTGTACTTTACAAGCTAAATGGGATACTAGGGGGAGAAACGTGTGCACTGATTGGCGGATCGGTGCAAATTGAGTCTGTCTGGTGCCAAAAAAAAAAAGAAACAACAATGTTAATGCAGAATCAACCGGCACTGGATTTATTTGTGCGAAGAAAGTTCCTTGACAGTTTAGTTATGGTAGAAAAATATGAATGGTAAATTTAAGTAATGTTATAACCGATAAATACATTTACCTTTGACGAAGTGCTAACATTCTAACAATGCATAAAGATGACCACAGATGGAATATCAGGTATCTTAAGATGAGCAGCAAAGTCTATATTCCAAGTCCAATTTTCAAATTCCGACTTGCAAACAAAGGTTGTTTCTTTCCTCTTTTCCCTTCTACTCTATCATAATGGAGAAAGTATGAGTCAAGAAATAAAACACCAGCGGAAACATTGCATTTCTGCTTCACACATTGCAATAGAACTTGATAAGGGTGAATCGAGAGTCACAGAAAAGGGCAGGAGATCACATGAACCAAAAAATGGGGGTGAAAATCATAAGAAGTTCACAAAATCTTTCTCTTCCCAACCCCTAAATGTACTAACTAGGTTTCAAAGACTTTAAAAGAGCACCTTCGGGAGAATGCGCGCATTTATCACGAAATGGAAACAGTTCGGAAGATCGTTAGTATGAAGTTTAACATAACTATACTTTAGATTTGTAATTATCGCGTAAAAGAATCTTCGGGTACAAAAGTTGATCCTCAGAAATCGAGCCGTTGAAGCGCTATTCTTAATTCTATTCACACGTTTATCAAACATGTGTCACTTGCGTGATATGTATTTCATACAGCGTTATCTATATGTTTAAAGTTTTACTCAAACTTCGATGGTTTCATTCACTGCTGGAAAAAAGGCAAGGCAATCATTACTGCCGCACTGGCTGCACAGACACGGGATTATTCAACATTTTCTCTATGTAAATGTATGACATCGTGTGGATTTTCTGTGTCCTAGAACTTTGAAATAAAACATGGGATTGTTGCAATCTCCGGACGAAAGTCACATTTAACCATTCAATAAAGCAGAGCCCATTCTCCCATTCCTCAGCGGATAGATAACTTCATTTTTCAATTTCTAAAGTGTCGGATCGTCCACCGCCGCTCACATGCTTATTTAGCACGACGTCTGAAACGGGCCTAGGCTATACAGCTGCCCGTGGTGTTTTACCTCTTGGAATAAATCTATAGGTTATTATCGACAAGTCTATCCCCAAAGGAGTAAATACCAAAAAAAATGGAAGTGTGGTTTGTAGGTGTTATGTGGAAAACAATCCTTTGTTGAACCAGTTTCCAGCCTTGGACTTACTGACAGAAGGATTCCAAAACGGGTCGTGTGGAAGGGATAACAGTTTGACTCATAATGAAAGAATAGACAAACAAATGTAATATACTTTAGAAAAAAATACTTGTATTAGAATAACATGAAATTAAATCAATCGAATTGGCTTAAATTAGACCATAACCAACTCATTTAAAATATAATGAATGGTTGATTTAGATGATGAATGCTCTATTGATTTTTAGTTTTTGAAAATGTATTTGAGAAAAATATATATATATACATGTATATGAAATATGGCTTGATTTCATATAATTCAAGTGTTAAGCTGCAGAATATTTGTCTATCAATGAGTAACATAAATTAGCTTTAAGATAATGAACACCATTTGCAAACATTCAAAGGTTATACTGCCAATATGAAATATCCTTCTTGACTGTGTGTAGATAATAGGATCAAGCATCATTGTGAAAGCATTGCGCCTATAGTATGCTGTCATTTTCGAGAAAAGAGAAATTAACATCAATTAGTCGCGATGGTTAGGACTTCTGCTGGGCCAGTAACTCGATTACTCGAGTACTCGTTCTACTCCTGGTTTTCCATCTACTCGAGTAATCGCCCTGGCGCGAGTAGAAGTCAGGTACTCGTGAGTAGCAATTTAAGGTTTAGAATTGACGACTAAATACGTCCCCTGCAAACAGGGAATCACTCCCTCCATCTCTCTCTCCCTAGGATTCCATTCGTAAAAAAAAAATCAAGTAAATGACCCAAAACCTCGCACAGTAAGGATATCTCAGTGCTTAAGAATGTGGTGTGACTTACAAAGTTAATTCACATCATAATAACGCATGTCACTGTTCTGCTTTCCTGGGAATTTGGTTAACTACTCGCTAGTACTCGACTACTCACGAGTAATTTCTTTGTGAGTACTCGAGTAGAAAAAAATCCACTACTCGCCCAGGCCTAGTTAGGACCAACCATCACGAGGAAAATAAACAGGTTTTTTTTTTTAATCATTTGCTGAATTTTGTTTAGTTTGCAATCGGTAATATTATTTTTCCCAATTTACAAAGTGGGGATCGCACCACAAGAAGGTGCAATCTAAACGTTTTACATGTAGGCCTAATGTACATTTTGGAAGGGAGGACTTTCAAGTTAAAACCTTGCCTTGCATCGAGAAAAATGAAGATGCATTTTTACAGTTTTCTCAAAAAGTAGGATTCAGTTATATGAGCTGATATTTCAACAGGATAGATGTTTACAGTAATAACCTACCTCAGATTTATTGTATTGCTGAGTTGTGAATCGGCATAAATAGCTGTGTTTTCTTGCAAATGGTTTGACAATTTCTTCAAATGGAATTTAAAGAAAACGCATTCTAATTATTGTTCTCAAAGCTCGGGTCTTAAAACTGGGTTATGGTTTTTGGTGTTGAGTGATGAATTAATTATTTTTTTGATGTTTGATAATGATTTATGATCGGGAAGTGGGGGACTTGTGTTGATTTCGTTCTTGTACAGGATTTTGTTTCTATATATCATAGATCTATGGAATAAGTTTCAAACCACTGTATTTGTGATGTTAGACAATGGATTGTCGGCACTGAGTTGCAAGTCATGTATGTTGAATGACTTGTGATTTGATTTTCATGTGAAGGACTTTTTGGATAGCGCATGCTCAATCTTTAAAGTAGTATGGGCCAGTGGAAGTTGTGAGTTAAATTGTTGTTCTATTGTGAAATCGACCATAGCTCTATAATGCTCACATACATAGCGTGTTTTATGAGAACGTCGTAACTTGTTTGAGAGGATTTTTTTTCCATTTCGGTTAAAAACAAGGAATTGATAGTAAGTATAAGAGCCTACATCAAGTATCTCAAGAGTAACCAGCCAGCACCACAGATAATCATTTCCTCGACATTACCTGATAGTTTGTCTTATCATGTGGGCGTCAGCTGCGTACATGCAAACCTAGAGACTTTACTGGTCCAGATCCATTCAACTGCTAAAGTGGTTTCACTGTACAAGACTGTCTGTAAGGTTACCAGACGTCTAGCCTTAGGCTGTATAGCAACAATACCCAGCCAGCACAAGCTACAGCAATCCCACTCAGTGACAATTATTTACTCTAATAGTAGCGTATTATATTTATAAACCAATCACTTACGCTACAATCGTTAGATATTTTGTTCATCAGGGTGAAGGAACCCCCCCCCCGGCAAAATACTACAAGCATAACAAGGGCCCTCTTAAGAAACACCCAGCCTATAGCCGGGATAACGCAGTGCACCGCCCCTGCCCCTACGGCGAAATATCTCCTTGAAAGACCCAGAGAGACTGGCGTGGTGGGGCAAGGGATGAAAATTACCCCGATAGTTTGTTGAATTCCATTTCGGGTCGCTGGGCGCTTTGGACCACCGATGATAGCCATGTCGCCAGGGGGTAGAGATGTCGGGGGATATTTAGTCTAGTTGCAGGGTTGAACACCATCCGTATGGTGGGGTGAACTTGGCCCGGGGGCGATCTCTGGTGTCGGTGGGGGCCGGCAGTCGGTGAGGCAGAAAGGGCTTCCGTGATTCCTAGGCAGGTCAGGGTAGGGCTGGGGAGAGATTGATGTAGCGGTATCAAGGCCTAATGTTGATACTTAATTGCAATAAAATTAGGACAAAAATACTTCAAGTTTAGGGTATTAACACACAGGAATTAATACACGGAAGCCGTGGAGCAGACAAACAAGTATAACATCTCATCCTCACGTTAAAAAAGTGAGCAGCTGAGTTTGAGTTTTAATTTTTGGGATTAAATTCATTTCCAAAACGTAGTTAAAATGTCCCTTTTTAACATGCGACTTCCTTAGTTAGTAAAAATATTATGCAGTATATATTTTTAAGGGATACGTTAAAAGATAAGCGGCAACCATAAATCTTGAAGTCCCACTTTAATTCTGTGATGTCGATGACATGTAGTCCTGGGTTGAACTGTTCCATTATTCAAGTGAAAAAAAAACACGATTTATATTGTATTTGGGCGCATATTCTTTCTCAGTAGCAAAAAAAAAGTTTGCGCTATTTTTACTTTAATGGTTTCGAAGTACATTGCAGAAAGGAAAATGACTTTAACATCATAACAAAAACAATTAAAGGGTTACAGGTATATGAACAGTTGGAAAGATTTAAAAGGTCCGTTCCCCCTGAGGTAGGCCTGTGAATCGAGGTCGATATTTTTTCAGTGGAGAGGTACAGATCGTACGAGGCATCACGTAGACAAAATCAAGGGTTAATGGAGGAATATCCTTCTTCTGTGAAAACATCAGCAAGACAACGGGCCATGTCCTGCTCTCACTCTGTCACTATCAACTTGAGAAGACTCGGTACCTTTTAGCGAGATGTGAGAAGCGAGAGCTAGGCACTCGTACTCGACTGTACAAGCGGCGGTTCCAACCAGCCATCTCTTCGGACGGGTAAGAACGTGCCCAAGCCCCCCGTCTCGCTGCTCGCTCAGCCGCGCAAGTATTTGTGCACGCGCCCGAATTGGGTCCGTCTTAATAACCCTGAAGGGGACTTGTGGCCGAGTCAATATTTTCGAGAGACACTCCAGAGAGATCGCGTTATCCACGCTACAAGTTGGCGGCCGGTCGCTGAGAGACTCTTGCATCCCTGGTCGAGTGTTCCGTGCCAGCGTGATCCTGCACACCCAAGCAGGCAAGGCGAGCGCCAGGCCGGACCCCCTTACCCACCCGCCAGCCCCCTTTCGTGTCGTACTGTGCGGGAGGCATTTCCGTGAGTAGAGTAAATTGGCCGACAACTTTTGCGGTGAGTTTTCATCGCCGTTTCCCCCGTCCACATGCCCCCCCCCCCCTGCCTCTTAGCCGCACGAGTGTGTGTATTCACGGGTAGCTAACCATTCCACTAGTCAAGATACCCACCCAATCTATCACATGTACCTATGGCCAAGGCAGCTAGATCATTCCCTATTTAGATTTGCCGGTATGTATACAACATTCACGGATGGTCAAGTGGGAGGAGGAAAGGCAATGACACGCTTCTCAGCACACAAAGATGGGCAAGATGGAATATCAAGCCGACTGTAACTCTTGAGCAACCTCCGCTGATGAGTGATCGCCTTATGAGGGCAGCCACTCAGTACAAGAAAACACATTAACGGACGGGGGATGGGCCTGACTCCTTCCCGCGTGCTTCGTCAAGTCATGCCGTGTAATACGCGTGCATTGGACCCCCTCCGCCAAGAGTGGTGTCGTTGCGATGTGACTAAGATACTGATTCCTCCTGTGTCAATATCTCTTGTCGCTAGATTTCAAGCCTGGTGGGTTTCTGAAGGGGACATCTTGAGGAGGGAAAGGGGGAGGTTTGATGTATAGTGTGCCTCGTTACAGAGAAACAAACACTGAATATGTAATTGTTGACTTCCCGATAAATCAGGAGAGTTGCCTTCCAAGTAGGAAGGCACGATCTACCGAGAAAGTAGGTTAATGGAACAGATAAATACACGTAATAGGACAACTCCCCGATGTGCACAATGTGTGGGCGAACTAAATGGGTTATATTTATAGAATGATTCAAGCAAAGATGATGCTGGCTGACTGAAGTACTTCACGTCCTAATTATTATGCAGACAGTGCAAATTAAATTGGACATAATTGACTCGATATAGCTCACATTGCGTGACAATATCAAAACCTTTAAAAAATACCTGAAACTTATAGTATTGTTTAATTATACCTAATCTCGAAAAAATACTATAGCCTTTAAATTTTGAAAAAGGTTTACTTTGCAATTTGTCACGTAATGTAATTTTGTTAAAGATATAAGTAAAATCAATGAATTCCATGCTATCTAAAAAGTGAAGTTTACATAAGAAAGATAGTCGGCTGCTATAATGAGCATTGTCACTGTCATCGATATTTAGAAGGCAAAATACCATTCCTTATGTATTAAAACAATCATTAACAAGTTTGTGTATTTGATCGGAAATATGTGGTGGGCAATTTCATGAGACAATTTATGAAATTTCAAAACTACAAGCATTACATCAAAAGGGACAACAATACCTTTCACTCGAGTGAATAGGCAGTGAGTTGGAATGAGGTAAAGTGTATTCGTTTTTGTCAAAAGCTGTTTTGGGGGGCTAAAATTATGGATATTAGGTAGTTTTGGCACCTTGTTTTTACTTGCAAAATTATTGTGAGATTCTGTTTTTAAGGCAGAGAAAAGGTTCATATTTTATTCGAAAAGACTTTGTTTGATAATCAGTTTCTTAATAGGCCTACCAAAGATGGGCGGACAAACTGTAACATGAGTTACCATAACGTGAGTTACCGTAACGTGAGTCACCGAAATATATCCCTCAGGAGATGTTGTGACTGATTAGTTTTATTAATTGAAATTGTAGCGTATGAGGAAACCTTCAAATGCAGGGTATTTCAATGTTTGCTATGTCCTTTTCTGTTGAGTTACCGATAAAAAAAAAGTTCATTGCCAAACCAACCGAACTTTATTTTGTTGGCCCATCTTGTAGTTTAGTCACTTACTTTCGAGGGATTTTCTGTGAGAAACATCCACCCTAAATGCTTTGATTTTGTAGAATAACAGCAGTGATGGAATTGCCCAGGTGTATAAATGCTCTCTGATTCAATAGTTCACCTTTAATCTTCCATGCAATGTCTGGAAAGAATAGTTCAAGAACATGTGTGATGTAGGCCTATAGACAGTGGAAAACGGGGAAGCGACACATAACAGACATAAAGGCTGGTCGAGATAAGTATACAGCTCGGGTGCAACAACTTTGCCCACAAGAGTCAGGCCAGAAACGATAGAACAATATATTCATGGCTTTTGGGGGACATTAACATTATAATTTGCCGCTTTTCTTTTAAGATATCTCTTCGTAAGAAATGCGTCACTGAGAGATTCGCATGCAACAAAAAGAGATTTCAAAAGGGAAATATGACCTCGTTACTTAATAAAAAATTGGTTAAATACACGTGAGCTTCAGAGGTCATTTTTTGATATGTCACCAGAAACCGCGCAGTCCAAGCTGAACATCTAGGTAAGGAATGCATCTCCATACAATCTTCTGATCCGGCACAGATACCCAACGACCCGGGGGAATGCTGCCACTACCAACCCATCCAGAAAACGTCAATGTCACCCCCGTCCCTCACCCCCAGTCACGCCAGGTGGAAACCCTAACACATTTGTTTCTTCCAGCGGTGTTTTTACATCTTCCTCGCCGTACACCCTGGCGGTTTCTTGCCTCTTCATCCACCGATTCCCACGCCGGTCGTAGACGGCGTGTCGACCGCATTCCGGGCCGCTTGGTGACCCCGAAAAAATCCCCTCCGTTGTCGCAACGAGCGGCAGGCCGATCCCCGAAACTTGTTCATCAATTGCCCTGACTATCCAGCAACTTGCACATGCGCCGCACCCGCAGGATTTTTATAGAGTATACACCTAAAGGGCTTGCTCGGTCGCTGAAACCCCATTCTATACATAACCGCTGGAGGCCACGTTTCCATGCATTCTTAACCTCTGCGCGAGCAAAAGAAAATTATGGCAAAAATGTTGAGTTGACAGAGCTTAATTAAACATTTAAGTGTGATCTATATATAGAATTGGGAATATTTTCCAGAGATCGGATGTACCAGTGGGACCTCATCAACACAGCTATCAATCATCGAGATGCATAGGGTATGGCGCCGATCATGTGCAGTTGAATATCAACTCCCAGTAGCCTTTTGCAAAAACGATGATGCGGCATGCCGGCTTTTCCAGTCAGTAGTTTACCCTGGACAAATTAAACATGCACGCGCATGCGTAGTTGGGGAAGACCTTAAAAAGACAATCGGCCAAATTTCTACCAACTTTTCCGACATTTGCTTATTGCTAACAAACATAACACGGAAGATTAAAAATGTTTGACCATACTCAATCTAACTTTTTATGTTGGCCTGCATTGATCAGAAAATCTTGGAGAGCGTGCGCATGGAGAAACGGTAGTTTCTGCATTGTGAATGATCTGAACTCGTATAGGGTATCGCCCTCCGCACCGAATGAACGCATTTAATTCTGTAGTTGAAACCTTTGATTTCGTGTTCTTGTTTTCGGTAAATGGATGATTTACGATCCCCTCAAGACGCTGCAACCGCGCTCCAAAAATGGGGAAGAAGCCACGGAGGGGTCGTAACCGTGCCTGGCAGACCGGCAACTTATCGTAAATTGGCAGTGTGCTACACCTGTGGTGATGCCCGGGCTGCTCCCGTCACCGCTCGGCCCATGTCGCGGTCGACGCCTTTCTACTCCTTTGTGACACGGGGAAACTATTACGGGCGCACCAAGCAGAAGGGAAACGCGGCGGCACTACGGGGCAATATTTCATCCCAATCGGTTTATAAATGGATCCGTGTATCGAGTTGCACGCAGTCGATCGCCCCAGAGTATCGCCTCATTAATGTGTTGCGCATTTCATGTATGTTTCACAGATGATGTTGTATTTGAAATGACCCAATCATGTTGCAGTCAGCGGTAACTTGTCACCGGCAATCATCTACCTTACACTTGGCAGTAAACTACGGACCTGTATCCTAGCTAAGCGGGGGCCGGGGTGAGATCGTGAGATGAGACACCCGAACTTTGGGACAGATGTAGGGTCGTCTTATGGGGATTTAGATCCTCCAACGATCTCAAATAACATCTATTTCCTGTATCATGAATTTCAGGAAGGCATTGGGGTTGCCAAGTGTGTCACTTTCGACATCCTAAAGGGCAGTCACATTTTAAAGCGAGTGTATTGTCCTTGCGTTCTTCAACCATAGTCACACAACTATCTCGCCTTTTATGCCATGCAACCACACTAAATCACCCTATATAAGAGAAGATACTGCGGGGTTTTTTTTTTCAGAGTAGAGGAACCACTCTTGACATGAAATACAATTCACGGATGGAACGTTTTCCTGCACCTGCAGTGTTTCCACCCACTCTGTGATGGGTTCCGCCGATTTACGAAAAAAAAACAATCTTGCACCGGCCAACCCGCCACTATGTTGCTGGCGATGATTGGTTTAATCATGTCCCACACCGTACCGTGCCTTTAACCTATAAGGAAACCGGGGCAAACTGGCAGGGAGACCCTAGAGGTAGCTTTACACTGCTAAATGCGAACGAGGGCAAATGGGAATAAATCAAACGGGGACCGAACTGGGGCTGGGAACAACGGCCTCATGTCAACCGCGTACGAAGGAATCCCACGTGAGCGAAAGACAGTCGCTTTACTCGATAGGAAGGGCTCCCTCGGAGGGTGAGGAAGAGCCAGGCCGGAAGCTAAAAATGTACTGTCGAAGCAACCGAGAAGACAAACAAACATTAAAAATAAAATTATAAACGGTTTATAAGTATAACTGATAATAATTTCCAATCTCCCCATCATAGAATGCATAATAGTTCCTACAAATAATTTGAAATAACGTCATGTGATTTTTGGTTGACAATAAGCCAGCTCGAACAAAGCATGCACGAGACTGCGGGTTTTAATTCCGGAGTTAATTTGCTAATTATTGGCTCTATTCTGAACTTCAAATCCAGGCATCACAGGTTGGCCCCCAACAGTAAGCGCACTGATGGGCAAAACCAATGATTTTGTTTATCTTACCCTTTTAATATTTATTCTAATTGAAGGATATAAACCCGGCCATTTTAGGCCGAAAAAGTAATGCTCTAAATTTGCCCCTTAAATCCAAACTTTATCAGCACGACCCAGATTCTTTACAGTGGGCTGATTATATCCTTTTGTGTTTCAGTACAGTCTCCTTGTCGAGTGCAACAACAGTAATTTGATACCTACGAAGGGAAGACAATATGCGGTAGTGAGGAAGCCCTGTGATTGGTCCATTGTGCAGACATGGCGGGAGTTAATTTCACAGCGACTCAAAAACAACATGACACAAACCATCAGAATCAAGCGGGCTTGTCCTTCACACCGCGTAGGGTCGGCTAGTCGGTATTTTGTCGGCACGACAAAATATCACATCTCACACCTGCCCCCTTAATTGATAAATGGATTGATTTACGATCGATTTGTTTAACGAATAACAATTTCCCAAACAACAATATTATCGCTAATGTGAGAACCGGCCCCCTGTTGAAAAAAAATAAATGAATAAAACAATACTTGGCTTTTTGAAACGTTGGCGGCGCTCTTTGAGATTTTAGTAATTAAGTCGAGCTTCAAATTGGATTGTGATATTGAAATATCGAATGGACTTTAATCGATTATTCAATACAAGATAATAATAGCTTAGATGATAATTTGTCCTGAAATGGAATTTCCATTACATTTTAACTAGCTAGACAAGGAAACAAAGAACACAGTTTACGAAAATACGACCTTGTCAATTCAAAGTATACAATCACTCGGCTCTGTAAAAACAATTTTGGTAACAATATTCGTGTAGTGTGTCTAGAATAACATACCGCTGCATGTCAAACGTCCGGTGATATCCTTTTTGTGTATAAATACGGACACGTCTTGTGAGAAGACAAACATACTTTGTGCCGTAGAGCTCCAGGGGCCGGGCCAAGTCGAGCGCGGAGAGAAAGCTAGCAGCGCGTCGGGCTTTCACCGACCTGCCTGGGTCACGCCGCGATAAGCCCACAAGGTGCACGGTGATGACAGGCAAGAACGGAATGGAACTGTTCTAAAACTCATCAGGATATTTCCCATCGGGTTTCACGGTCTTTCGAGTCAAGGAAAGAAGGACTTTTGAGAGAGTCCACGGCCATGTGCGAAAACAATTATCTTGGAGGAATTCATATTCATAGCGTGGGCTAGTTTATGCTATCAGTTGTTGCTAACAGACTTAGTTCTAGTTAATAACGAAGGGCGGAGGTTAGTGTTGCTGGCGACGGGGCACCGACTCGCCCCTTACCGATACACTTGGTCATGTTTCTGAGTTACCCCAAATGAAAGTTTACGGACTTGCACGTTGACACAGCCTAGCACCTCGAAGCATAAAGGAATAGCTGAGCTAGGGTTTGGTGGCGAATGACGAAACAAACCTGCCGTTTGTGAACTCCTTGGTCTGGACCATGGTGATTTCCTCACTGATTTCATTTTATAGTTGGTGGCGATTCGGCTGCGAACAAATTGACTTCGTTATCAAGGGTTGTGCCTCGAAACGCCGTTATGGCGCACTTTAGCCTCATGTTTTGCTTGAGCAAAAGTTTTACCTAAGATTTAGAAGTAAGTGAAATTTCATCAAGCTCTAAACATTCCCATTCATTAACCTTGACTTTACCAACCCGTTACAAAGTTAGGAAATATTTTCCGGTAAAATTACATTTTTAAGTGTGCAGTGAACCCTTTTATTTTCCGACAAACATGTTGTTGGATAATATGTGAGTATAGATAATATTGTTTATCAGAATTTGTCGACTTTAAAGACATTTATCAATGTAAACTTCTGAATTGCTGAAATGTTTTCAAGTGCACCACGTAAGGGAACGCTCGACCGATTGTATGCCCATTTTCCGGACGCCACCGTTTTTTGAAATTCGGACTCACTTTCACCACACTAATATTGTTCACAAGGGTTCGACAGCAAACAAGAGAAAGAATTTGAAGCTTGTCAAGAAAGAGGTTTTGCAACACTGCATGAGGAAATTCGGGGGGAAATGTCGAAGTGCACCACCTTAGGGGGCTCCACTATATATGACACAATGAAATCGAAGTGAAACCATTGTTACCGGTGGGGATTGTTTTCCGCCGCAAAGGTTACCAACTCAAAGTCAAAAGGTTTTATTCTAGCCCTGTCTTTGTTAAAATAAGACACTTTTTATGTTTAAAGTAGTGTTCCAGACAGAAGACCTGAACAAAACAGCAAGATTTGTCTAAGTTAGAAATAGCTGAGCATTCATACTATCCAGCATTAACACATTGATAGTGTGTGAATGGGTATAGATTATTCCTCCTCTGCAAATACAATTTTAAAATGTTCATCATGATACCAGCCTGCTCAAGGATCGACCTTTTTTATCCCTAGACCTTCCCCTGCATGGTTGAATGCGCTTATCTTCCCCCCCCCCCTCCGACTGTAGACGCCCTCTCGCGTCCTTCGAAGCACGAATAATATTTGGTATTCCTCCTTAAAGGGAATATACAACATTTGCAAACATCGGAAAACAAAACTACCCTTTTTTACGAAAAACCTTACTAGGATGTTGGTAAATGACAGTTTAAAGCATCCTGTAAAATTATGGCACCAGGTGTGTGCGTATTTTAGGTTGTGACAGGATACTAGTTCAGTTGTGTAGGGTTCAGTAGCGCTACTGAAAACACCTACCGACCGAGAACCCCCCATTTCGTGCACCATTTGGCTCCAATTTACCATTTTTGTTCAATCCAAATTTTGTTTGCTATTGGTTACATGTTCATGAACGGGTGCAGGCCAGCTAGAGTGGTTCCACTACCTTACAATTTTCTGGCATCTATAAATTGATCCATTTCATCTTTAGTGGAGTCAGGGAACCAGACTCCTCGAACATTTTTGTTTTTCTTAGTTTTTCCAGCATTTTCGAACACAAAACTTCAAACATGTCAGTGTAACAATATTTGATCTATTATACTAACCCGTCAAATAGTTCATTTCTGAAAATTACAACAATTGCCAATGATGTACATTCCCTTTAATTCAGCTAAAAAGTTCACGACATTCTAAGAAATTTCAGTTACTCTTCGATACGGACAAAACTCACCAAGAAGGACAATTTAATTGGATCAACCATAGAGCTATATAGGAACCGTGGTTGGCTTACCAGCACGGCTTACAGCTACAATGACCTAGGGGCATGTTTTTCTCAATAGCGCATGATTCAAGCGCGCCGGGGCACCGCGGCGTTTAGGCTGTGTTCATCCACCCATTAAATTAGGCCCATCATGTCCCTGAATTGTCACCGATTGCGGTTGGCAATAATTGGGTTGACGGGGGATCGACTGGCTTTCTGGTTGTTACATACTTGTATTACCGGTATTTCCTATTAAATTTTGGTTAACATCGGAAAGACCTGGTTTCAGTATCGTTCATATTTAGTTAGCACTGGAACTTGGAAGCCGCAGCTGGTTACGAAGTCGAGGGGCGAGAATGCTCAAATACAGTCACTACAACATACACAATTAAATTACTAAATTAGTTTTGAAATTGAGCTCACCCAAAGGTACTTCTGTACAAAAAGGGCCGTCAGAAGCCAGATACAGCTAGACGAGGCTTCGTCATAATGGTAGCACAGTAATAGCAATGGTTCAAAAGGACGGAAAATCAATGTGGCTGAACTCATGAAACGCAATGAACGAAGAAAGAATTCAGCGCTCGATCCTTCTCTCATGAATTTCGCGCTGCACCACGCCCTAACGCTCAACTATAGCACAGGCATTTCACTTGTTCGCCTTAACAATGCCAACAACAATTCCTATTTCCAGATGAGGAAAGCTCCTGGAAGGGCGGTTTGCATTTGAATTCGCAGCTTGCGAATTCGGTTGGTTACAATTAGTCAGCGTTTTCCATAGTTACTTGCAAAATCTCGCTGGATGGTTACGTGCTTGGGTTGTGGAAGTCCAAGATTTTCAAGGGGGAGGTGGATGAGGCATCGCAGACTGCAGTCAATTCATGAAAAAAAACCACAAGCTCAGGCAATGAATGAAGATCGGCAATATTGAGTGATGACTTCAGGGAAATTATGGAATTGCATGTATGGGATACTTTTCTATTTGGAAATTACTACCATTGGTGAGTCAGGGATGGTGTGGTTCACCACCCTAACACCCTCCTGGATACGCCCTTCACATCACCACGCCAGGTCCCTCACTTCGCTCGCGCCACTATTGCCTGTATCTGAGACGGTATACTATACGTTTTGCGTTTCTTTCACAATATGGCATGGAAGAGAATACATGAAGGAGTCAATGCTCGTGGACATAACGGTGAATACGAGCGAACTAGGAAACCTGCGCGTGTGCCATGGTATAGTTTGTGATGTGAAAACCAAGCTAACATTATGACAATCGCATTGCATACATTCTTTGAAGCGCCCTCTAGTGTGCGCAAATAAATTTTTCGAGCAACCTACTCTCATGTGATTTTTTAATTATTCATTGTGCCAACAATGAGAGAGTGCAACACTCTGAAGGTGCATCGTGTGTGGAATGGCGTCATCGTAATATTCTCACCATAGTAGCCCCAGGACTATGACCTACATGTTCATTAATGAGCATTATCCGTGCTATATAATACCCCATGGCTATAGCAATAATGGAAGGATAATTTGCTGGATACCACAGACATCAATGCCCACTGGCATTTGACACCTAAGTCCACGTTGTTTGATTACAAATTTCGTTTGGATTTTCGTAGGGGGGGGGGGAGGATAAGTTTAACTTGGCTGAATGTGAGCTAGTGAAGTTGGAACTGAAGTTGGCGCAGTTCGGTGGTGGGATTCTTTCCTTGCTTCTTGGGCTTTCTCATTATACAACCCGCGCATTCAAGCTGTAAATTTGTTGAGAGAAAGTGACATTGTCATCACACACAATACCAGAGGTAACAAGTTCTTGTCAACATTGCTGGATCAGTGTCGTTGGGGTTAGACTGGTTCCCGGTCCCTCCATTGTCCTTCGGACTTCAAATGTAAGGACCGGTAGCAGGCAATGAATCCTTGAGGAATTCCTCCCGGTGTATGCAAATTAGGGTAGGTCTGAATCCCACCCCCTGGATACAAAATCACAACGATAATGTAAGCGCAGTACCACCCTATTGCAAAATGGCAACAGTGCTATCACTAATGCGCAGTCTGTGTGGTGATAAGTTTCGATTTTCGCTAGTCTCTGGTAACTATCAATAAAGAGACGGGCACTGCTTTCAGTATTTGAACTTATGCAGTTAAATGCTTAAAAATTGCATTCGTGCAGAAGCTGTGGCGATTTTGCCCACTGGTATGGTAAGACGGTCAGTGTTCCGATAGCCATACTGTCATCCATGTGTGAGAACGAAAACATCATTTTCAAAAATAAAAAAATCATACTGCGCACGCGCAGAGTTGATCCAATCAAAGGCTTTACATGAAAACTAGCTACTGGTCCCCAGTATGGTCAACGTTGGGATATAATCAAACAGCTCTTGGTGGCACTTTTCATTATTGAAACTTGAATGTTTGCAAATCATGTCCCATTCTCACTTTCGTTTCCAGCAGTTTTGAGTGTTTAAAGTCTGTTTCAACCTGATGTTTTTAATTTAAGCTCCTTCGGTGTTCATATTTCTCTTTTCACTTCCAGTTCCACCTTTTTCTTGGTGGGTGGTGTCTACATACGCTAACATAAATAATATCGGCGTCCGTCAACAACACCACAGTAGGATATGCCCCTGATTTTTTTTCAGAATGAAGACCAAATGCGATAACAGTTTACATTAGAATCGAAATCGCGTAGCAAACATTTTATATGCAAAACGTGGATTATGGTTCCAACCACACACATTTTTGGATAGAATTTTGTCCAATTAAACGAATTTGTTGAACAAAGGTCCTTCACCCTTTCAGCGCAATTTTCAAAGCTGTAAGTCATTAGATATGCAAACAACGGAACCTCTGGTGATTGGGAATGATATTAAACTTGAAACTACCATTCATGCTTTGCCTGACGTCACACACAAGGAAGCGTCATTTAATTTGGCAAAGTAAATAAACCATCAATTCTATTATAGTCACTCGGATCATCGTCTGGAATGGGTTTTGCCGTTCTGGTAAGCCCTAGAATAATAACGCCGGCTAGACGGTGCAGACAGCCCCACCAGGATGATCGTCTGCAAAGTCATTAACACCGGCCCACAAAAACGGTGGCATTTTGTGGTAGGGAGGAAGAAGAAACGCGCCAAGTGGAGCGTAAATCCGCCGACGAGCCCGCCGGATCAGCGCGCGCTTTTTGTTTCATTTGGCGACTGAGCGCGAGTGTTGCGTGCTAATAATACTGACGGGTGGCGAAGACGGCCGCCAGTTAAAACTGTTATTGGCTCCGTGTAATGCCATTAATACTCTGATCCGAGGTTAATTATGGTTATTTGGACAAACACAAGAGCAGGGATTTGTTGGCTTGGTCCTGTGGCTATAGTAACACGCATGTGATGTGGCTCCTCGTTCCACAGTAGCAAGACTTGGATAATTTGAATGTGATGCTCTCTCCCTGTGTTGTTAGTCGTGCAAACATTTGTTTTTCATTTTTCCACAGAACCCACCGTGCTCTGACAATACTGTGGCAAAATGTGATGTGAACAGGGGGAAAGATTAGACTGGGAGTCGGTGGTCCTTTGGTCGTTTTTACCATGAGGCTCTAGGACCTTTTTTGATTAGTGCATGTCTCCAAACCTCTAAACTTTGTATATTTTTGAGACGCTGCAAATTCAGAAGAAAATTGAGCCCTGCAGAGTTCATATGAAACTGTCTATATACCAATGCCTCTTTTGGACATATCACTGCTATTTCTATTGTGTTCAAAGTGTTGTAGAGTATGAAATCGTTTGAAATGATCATTCGAAAAGATGGCAGGGGTTCACATTATCGCCGAGAGGTTAGCATGATTCATAAAGAGTAAGTTCAAGCTCAAACGCCTGGCGTAGAGTTTACACCTGAAATTATTGAACTGTCCGAAGAGCGTTTGACAACTGAATTGGCAACCTGATGATAATCTTCATTGGTACACCTTGTAAAACAGCATCAGCCATGACGGTGTTGCAGATTACCAGCGAATTGCATGTGAGGCATTAATAAGGTCAATAGATGGCCCAGAATGGTCAACAGATCTGAAAAGTGATGTGTCAACTAGACTCCTACGTGTCAGACGGCAAACAATTACCGGCGATTTTACTTTCACCTCCAAAATAGAAGAGTGTTACAATCGAAGCTTTGAGTCATGATCATAAGCCACGAAAAGTCAATGTTTGTCCTGAATTTCTAGCAAGAAAAAATGCCGAGACAGGAAAAGAAATCGGTGGTTGCAGCGAGGCGAGCCCTGAGTCAACTGCGGAGCGTCGGCCGTGTGTGGGCTTCGTGACACCCCACGGATCGGTCCTGCTGAAAACGGCCAGGGAGTCACGTTGGTAACACACAGTTGTACAAATAAGCGTTCAGCATCATAAGTATCCAAGCGAGGGGAAAACCCGATAATTGAATCAGAAACTAAAAAGATATCAGGACTAGCTTGCCTGCTTGCTTGCTTTCTTGGAGACAGTGTGACCGGCGGGCCGAGCTGCAGAGCAGCTGAATTGAACCGATGAGGAGAATTAGCCAGGGACATGGGCCAGACGAACAGATCACGGTCATCTATAATTTGATCCGCAAAGAGCTGTGAGATAATGAGATAAAGGTGTTGCCGAGGACTGTATTACTATCACATCCTTAGAAGTGAGCGGGCCCGTTGAGGTGAAGAATGCACAAACGTTCAATCTATGTTAAGGAGTCACTGACAACAATGTACTCAACAATCATGGATTTTGCTTATTATATCCTTTCTTTAGCTCTCGAATCCTGTTTCTCATGTGCATAAGTGTTAAAAAATACCCTAAAAAAGGAAGAACGTTTTGCAGTAAAAATGCATGATAAAGACAATTGGTCCACGTTACATCTTGTTCCTCTTCACTAAATGGCATCTGTTAGCATGATAAGCATGTTACATGCACGTTTATACATGTACATCTGCGCCATTTTCCTAAAAAGAACACGCCCGCTGGATGGTATTCCTGCTACTTAACTCTGCGACGAATCTTGATAGGAAACGCAAAGGGTTTTGGGTCAACTTAACTGATCTGACGCTCCACTGATGACCTTCACTGTATTGACGTCAGCTCTGGCTTTCCACCCGATCGAGGCATACAGTGTAAAAGTAACACCTGTGGTGTCGCTTTCATTTTTCCGACAGGTGTAAATGAACACCTCAGGTCTTGTGTACCTGTTCTTACTTAGATTTGAATTCGTTGTCATATGGGGTGGTTTTTAAAATCAACCTTTATGAAGCCCTTCGTGATTGGTTCCAAAGATGACCAATTTGACCCATCCTTCGTTCAATCCATCTTTGATCTAAGATAATCCCCCATGTTCGAACTGCAACACAAGCAAATAGCACTCTAATGACATCATAATTAAAAGAAAACTCTGGTTATATTTACCCAAGTTAAGTGAAGGTCAGATGGATCCGTCATGTAGTTTCAAACTGTGCCAGTTTGGATCGTCATATATCGAGTATGGAATCAGGGAGTGGACTTCAAACATCTTTGGTGATGTGGAGATTGCTGGCTCCACATCACCTGTCACCTTGTCCAGATCCAGGTTCAGCTTTACCCATTGTGTTCTTAATATAGGATT